CAATTCACTGAATTGTTGCAATTTTCTTCTGGAAAGTTCTGACCTTATTTGTTTTATGAGAAAAAAAGAAGAGCATGCTTACTATCTTTATCAATAAAAGTAAATAAATCCTGATTTTTAAAAATATTTATACATGCGTGCATACACACACATACACAGAAACATGTTGGGCTTTGTAATATACTGTATATGTATGCATGTATGTATGTATATGTATATATGTGTATGTATGTATGTATGTATGTATGTATGTATGTATGTATATATATGTATGTATGTATATATGTATGTATGTATGTATGTATGCATGCATGTATATATGTATGGTATATACCCAACATACCTGTAACCCCCCACCCCCTTTTACATTCAAACAAAATTTCCAGGGCTGCTGGCGAAACCATGCCTTCATGGAGTTCGGAAAATGTGAAGGCCAATCTTATTTCCACAGGGAAGAGGGCCACTATGGAAAAGGCCTTCTTTTTGGCCCCACTAAATAGACCTCTTTAATATGGGGGGGGGGGGACACACATAACATACCTCACCTCTCTGGTCTGGTGACTTGGAGAGATATAACTGGGGAATAGATGGTCCTTCAAATAACCTGACCCCAAGCCATCTAGGATTTTAAAGATATGACCAACACCTTGAATTGGACGTGAAGCAAATCGGCATTTAATGCAGTTCTCTTAAGAGCGGTGTCAAATGTGCAAATGTAGACTTGCACAAAACCATGCAGGTTCTCCATTTTGTACCAACTGAAGTTTCTGAATACTTTTCAAATGCAATCCCATATAGAGCGCATTACAGTAGTCAAGACAGGAGGTGACTAAGATATGGCCATGCATGATCTGTTGGTCCAGGGAAGGGTGTAATTGGTGCACAGCCTACACTTGAAAGAAATACACCTCCTGGCCGTGGTTGTTGCTTGTTCCCTGAGCAGGATTCTTGAATCCATGGGAACCCACAGATTGTGCACTGGGTCCATCTGGGCATGGCAACCTCATTCAAAACCAAAGATAGTGATTCTCCATGGACCAAAGAACCCCAAACTCGGCTCCATTCTATCTTACCAGGGCTCAGTTTCAGCCTGTTGTTCCCATCCAGCTCTTAACAGACTCGAGGCATTGTGAGAGGGAGGTCATGACACTGCTTAATTCACCAGATATCATCCTTCCCCAGAAGGAAGCAGGTCACCTTATAGAAAGTGATTATTATCTGCAGACACAACTAGTGTGGACAAGTATTCATGTTTCACCCTTTGAATTGTCAGGAAGTAGGCTTTGATAGCAGCTCTTATCTGTATTTGGGTAAGCATGTTTTTCATCTTCTGCTAGTGGTGCTCTAGATGTCTCTTCATCCATTTCATATCTCTCAATTCCTCTGTATGCCATGGGTATGGGGTCCTGAGGTCCATGGGTTGGGAGAGGTCACATGGGTGCAATCCTGTTTAAAGCCCCAGTCACCTCCCTATTCCAGATGACAACTAGGGATTTGGCAGGACTACATAGCAGATCTTCACTTATGATACTGAGCTCTTTTTGAAATCCATCAGAGTCCATCGGTTGCTGGGGGGTGGGATTGATCTAGTAGGTCCTGCCTCTCTGGAGGAAGCTCACCAAGCCACCAAGGTGTGATGTGACCTTGACAAGGGGATGTAGGATAGGTCCACCAATTCCAGATCATATAGGCACTATTCCGACAAGAACACCAAATTGATTGTTTGACTCCGGATGATCTGGGTCAGGCCCATGATAGTCATCAATTCCATGAACTCCTACCCCCCACCCTAGAGATCACAGAATGAAGTCCTCCAAAACTATGAATCTGGGAAGCTCCATCTTCAGCCCTGCAGTGAAGTCCAGGAAATCAGGCAGAGAAGCTGCTACACATCAGGGAAACTGGTACGGTAGCAATCCCATTTGGTTCCTCAAACCCAACCTAAGAAAAAGGGCACTCTTGGAACAATGCTCTGGAAGTTATCAGAGATTCTCTGATGACAACAGCCACACTGCCTCCCTATCCTCTAGTCTAGGCTGGTGCCTTACTTGATAACCAGCTGAGCACATTTCTAAGAGAGGAACCTCACCTCTGCCCTCAGCTACATCTTGGTGATACAAGTGAGATTAGACTTCTCTTCAAGAATCAAGTCACCAATAAGGCAAGCCTTATTACAAGCAGATCTGGACTTTAAACCAGCAGTCTAAAACCGGGCCTCCACAAATTTACTGACCAGGTAAACAGAGTTCAAAGCCTGAAACACAAGATCAATACCAGATTCCAAGGGCACATTCCCTCCAAGGTGACCTGTCCTTGGTCTCTAGTCGTATTTCTCATTACCTGACACCACCGAAATACACTGTCTTACTCTGCATATTCCACTTGCCAATATTCTTGCAAACATATACATTTATTTATGTACAAAGTATTTTGAATTTCACCAACAATTGACTGGCTGATTGCCAGATAATTCTGATAAATTTTACTATGGTACTTCTGTGGCTTAATACCACATTATTAGAATCCATAAAAATGAGGCATTGTTACTTGAAATGCAGGGCATGATGGTAAATCAGCTTTCCAAATTCAGAAAAAAAAACCTTAAATGTTTTATATCACAGTGAAGGTTAAGTAACAAGAAACAAAAACAATTCCTTTCAGAATACCCCAAAGCAGAATTTCCACAATGTCTGAAGAAGTAAAGCACCTCATATGTGGGCCTGGAGAAGAATTGGCAAAACAACCATCCCTTTCTTCTGACTAAATCCCAAATATATTTAAAAAAGGAGATCTTCTTTGGGACTGAGGATTGTTCTCCAAGCAAGAAAAAAATCTCATTCTGATGTTCTTATCATTGATATTACCCAGTTGGGTAATGAAACATCTGGAAGCAAACAACCATGCTCAGAAGGACTCCACAAGACAGAATCTAATAATTAATCAGGTGGAAGGTAAGGGGAAATAACTCTTTGAGAATGGAAGATCTACATAAGCAAATCTGCTCCCATTACAGACTGTAAACACCTTTATGATACATATTGGATGTCCTTGAGTAAACTGTTTTGGAAAGTTTTTGTAAAAAGCAGTATGTAGCTAAATGAGAGGGTGACCACTGCTGGTTTGCAAAGGAACTGCGGGTGCAAATAGTAATAAAAACAAAAACTCTTGTGACATTATCAATCTTGCAAGATTTTGGTGTTCTTATTCAGAATTGTTAATAAATAAAAACAGTGCAAAACGTGCTTATTAAACATGTGCGATGAAGGAACGGAAAAACATAGTAAACAATTCCCCCCTGGTATGTTTTGCAGTTACTGCCTGAGAATATGGACTGAAGAATCTTATAAAACGTTTACTTTATTAGCATCTTTAAACTTCATCCTGCATTTCATCCTGTTAAACATTTGCTGATATAAAGATCTTTTTCCCAGGGAGGGGGGGATGAAAAAGTTTAACAAAACTGGAACAGTTTGATTAGACAAATTTCACGGAGGATAATACTGCAAATTATACTCTATCCTAGGACCAAGACTCACTGATAATCTTTGCCAGTTTGAAAAAGGAGGATAGGAGAGCTTTTCTTATGATCTCATGAACATATGTGAATTATAAAGACGCACTTATACCCAGCTGGATTTACATTAATGGTCTTGTAATGTTTCAAAAATCCTTACTCCTTTGCTTACCTCCAAAATCCAGCCTCATCAATCAGTCAGTCCATCCACCCATCCCAGATTCAGATTTCATTACTCTGACCAACTTTCAATCACCTTTACCTTAGACAGAGTTTCTTCACTATTTAAGTGATTTTCAGTTGACAGGCAGATGGCTAAGTATGAAAACATGTCATAGCACACTGCAAACTCCCTCATTCCCTCATGCCTAACAAAGCAAAATGGAGAAGTTCAGAATTGTATTCGTTCAAGTGTATATTAATAACCCAACAATTTTTCAAAGCTAGGGGAAAAAAACCTTTATAGTAAATTTTAATAACATGAACTGAAAGGAAGCTAATATCAAATAACATTTTTGGGGGTTATGTTGTTTCAGTTAAGTCAGTGTGGTCTAGGATAGGGGTTGCCAACTTTTTGGACCTCAGGGACCACCAAACTCATAATTTTAAAGCCCGCGGACCACTAATATGAATTTTGACTGACGGTGGCTTGCTGACGTTGGTGGGAGAGAAAGAGAGAGATCTAATCTAACCTTTCTCTCTCTCCCTCCCTCTCCCTCTCTCTCTCTCTCTCACATACAAACACACAGAGGCAAGGGTGGGATTCAAATTTCTTAACTGGTTCTGTGGGCATGGCCTAATTTGTGGGCATGGCTTAGTGGTCATGTGACTGGCTGGGTATGGCTTGTATGCAAATATTATAAATATTTATGTAAATATTGAATTTTTTATAAAAAAAGAGCAACTTTTACAAAGTTTAGATTTACAAATTAGACAAAGCAGGCAGGCAGATTGAGTTGCTCAAAGAATCAGATTCACTCAGAGATCTATCTATCTGCCATTGGCTACCCGAGTCTGCACTGAAAAATAGAAGTTTTAGTCCTAAGGAAGTTTTACCTCTGCTTTTAGATTAGCTAGAAAGCAAGAAATCTAATGATTTTTTTGCTTTCTAGCTAATCTAAATCTCCCGGCACAGCAGAACAGCTGATGGTCAGGGAAAAAAAAGGAAAAATAGCAACTTAGCAGGCAAGTTTACCAGGTAAGGAGTGAATGGGTGGGGAGGGTTCCCCTGGGCCATGTGGGTGGCGCAGCATTGTGTTCCCATACAGCCTGGATTAATTGCTTTGGGGGGTGCTCTGGGGGTGACATTTCTCTGCGGACCACCAAAATTTTCTTGAGGCCCACCAGTGGGCTGTGGCCCACCAGTTGGCGATCACTGGTCTAGGAGGCCAAGAAAACAAAAAAGGAAGCATGGGCTACACTAATACTCTCACAGTGTTTTTCTCTTCACAAGTGCTACAGTTACATCCATTAGGAATATACTTACCATGTGGTAAAGTTATATTTGCACCATCAATGATTGCTTGTGCCAGTTCATGATCATTGTTCTCAAACGCATGCGATGCAGCCTTCAAGGCATCCCAGATTTCCTTGCGGCCTTCAAAAGCAGGTGCGGTGTCCCAAAATTCATCTCTCTTGCTACGCAGTTGTCCATCTGTCATGGGGTAATCACTTTTCCATTTCGGCTTCTCCTTTTTCATGGGCTGATTACGGCCAAGGGCAACTGTATGAAAAGAAAGAACGAAGTAAAGCCTGTCTTCTCAAGGGCAGAATATTCATGTTCAAGCAACAGTTTTTGAGTTTTTGTCCATCAGTTAAACAGCTCTTGTACACATTATTATTCATTTCAATTATTTATCTACAATAGTATTGTGCTGGATGGTTCCTTCATTTGTCTATAGAGTTATTACCTAATTTGATAAATAAAATAAAAAAGCCATATCTTGCTTTACATCTTATATACTTATTAATTCCCAAATCATATTCCAAAAAAAAAAATGTTTGTAAATGGTACTGGAATTACTTTTTTTTTTTTTCAGATTGCTTTTCACTAAAACTCTTGTCGTATCTTGAATATAATGGAAAACCTACATAATTTTGTTAATTCAATCTCTCATTTCCAGTTTGTCATTTCTTATCCTGCCTTACAGAGGCCAACTTGTTTTGAACTGAAATAAGCCTCTGTAGATTACATGCCACCAAATCTGGAGCTGCTATTTATTAAAAGCTAAGAAACATTTCTTAATATAAAGCACTTTCAATATATTCATCCACAGAAACATTGTTTCTCTCTTCTTAAAAAAAATCAGAAACATATTCATCAGATCCACTCTCCACATGAGGAGAGAATGCAACAGTTCTATGAAAAAATATTCACCCACTTTCAGATTCTTTGAATTTCTGTACAGTCCTTTCAAGTTATGACTATTTGCTTAGTCATTCACAACCGTGAATTAACAATACCCTTGGAAAGGATACTTTATGACCCATAAAGCACTTCTGACCCATTGCAAAACATCTTTTAGGATGCCATGATTGTAATCTGGGCATTTGGCAACCCATTCGCACTTACAACTAGTTGTCAAGCATCCCTCAATCATGTGATTGCTATTTGTTGGCTTCTTTGCTGGCTCTCCTGGAAAATCAATGCTGTCTGCATGGATTTTGGCAGGAAGACTTTTCAGCCTTCTGACCAGAGATGTTGGTGTATGGCCTAAGCTGGGCCTCCCCATTCCCCCTGTGGTACAGAAAAAATGATTTTGCCCCGATTTCATGAGGGAGGATTTTTAGTGCCAGAGAGCAGTAGACTTCAACGAAGGAGCAGAGAGTGCCCCAGGGGAGTTCACCAGAGAAGATTTTCAGCATCAGAGTGGAAAGACGTGTCCACAACTCAGCCTCCACTTGTGTGTGACCTGCACTGGGCCTCTCAGGATCTCCCCCCAACCCCAAAGCACACTGCATTCCTTACCCGGGACTCCGTCCACTTAACAATTATATATATCAACAACTAAAATTTATCAGTTCGTATAGGTCCTGTTGAAATGTGGAGCTTGCTTCATTTATTTCATAAACAAAAAATATCCAACATGCAATTACCAGTATGAAAATGTTCCTCTTACATTCGATAGCTGGCTGTACCTTCTTCAGCTGCTACAATTGCAAACAAATGCTTCCTGTAATTTGTAATCAGTCTCTCACATTACAATATTGTGAAGCAATTTTGGCCCATTCCTTCATGGCAAACTGCTTCAACTTAATTAATACTAGAAGGATTTCAAACATAAAATGCTTGTTCAGGATCTGCCAAAATATTTTTTGTGAGATTTATGTCTGGACTGTCATTTAACCATTCTAAAACAATGCATTATTCTCCTTTAACCATTATATTGCAGAGTTGCTTGTATGTTCTCAAGTGGAGTTTTCTGACCCAAAATGGAGTTTTATGCTTCCTTCAATAATGGCAAATGTTAAAGGCCTTGAGGAGCAAAACACCTCCAAGTCATGATACTATCCTATCACTTCATGCTTAACAGCTGGGATGAGGTTGTTGTGGTGGAATGCAATGTTTGTGTTCCTATCAGACATAATTATATTCATGTAGCTCAATAGTTCCACTATTGAATGGAAGGTTCACTTTCGGGCATACTTGGAACAAGCAATGTTTTTCTTAATCAGTTCTGTCTTGTTAGCCTCTTGTCAATATCATTATTTGATGCCTTTTTGGTAATGGAATCTTTAATGCTGATTTTGGTCAAATAGGACATGTCTGCAGATCCCAGGATGTTTGTTATGATCTTTGAGTGATTTTGAACAGCAAAGCCAATCTTGAGAAGGTTCACTACTGTCTGACTATGTACTGATAAAAACTCAGAAATGATTTTATAACTGTTTTACAGAGATCTTTAGATCTTTATTTTTAAAGAATGAGATAAGTGCCTCTATGATCTTTATGGTGAGAACTTTACTGTGATGAAGACAGATCAATCCTTTATTAAAAGAGAATGGATGGCACGTTTAGAACTAATGACTCATTTGATTATCCCAGAATATGACAAATGAAATCACTACTTTGTTTTCTATAACTTGTCAAAGCTAACCTGAATATCATATCTGAAACATTTGGGTTTTTTTTTTTGCTACAGACTAAAATTTCTTATGCTATCTTTCCTATTCTTAATTGGGAATACTCCCATTATGAAATTAGGCACCTCTGATGGCTTAGATATTATCACTAATTCAATTTATTTTCACGGAAAATACCTTGACAATGGTGGATTTTCATACAGAAACAATAATTGTGATTGCTGTCTTCTGTATATATTGCACAATAACTTGAAGCATGTAATCAGCTTTGACAGAATAAATGCTGTCTCATCTGTCCTTAATATGATTGGACAAGTCATACAGTGAAAAAGTTTAACACTGTTTCTGTGTTTAATTACGTTATGAATAATGTCTTTTTAATAGCTTGTAAAGGCAAAAGTCTGGCAATGATTAAAAGCAGTTCTTTTAGAGCTGCTTTATTAACAGTTATGCTAGACTGTTGATGTTTGTAACAAACACAAAATGTGAAGAAGACTCAATTACGTCTAAACACTAAGATACTAATATACAGTACATTGTTACTGTCAATGTGTGAAATTAGGCATTTTATAGAATGCCTAGGAAATCTACAGAATCCCAAAAATGGGACATCAAAGCATGAAATGCTTAATATTTCACACATTTCCTAGGCATTCTATGAAATGCCAAAGTCAAACTGGCAAAATATAAAATATTCCCGCTAAAATGCTCTTCTATACTTTCTTATTGGAGCAAATAGATCAATGCCGATCTTTTTCTCTTGTTCTTTTCTGTAAGAAAGTCCTGTACTTTATTTTGTATTTCTTCTTTCATTTTCATGTATGTCTTTTCAATAAATGGTATTAACCTTAACCCTAAACTTTTTCACGACTCTCTTTTCACATTTTTGTCTAAATAGTTCTTGTTGGTTTTGCATAATGCTTAGATATTATATACAATGCCTAGGGAAAGTATATAGCATATTACAGAGGCATTTCATGCATTCTATCCCAAGGAATTATTTCAGCTTGCAAAGAATGTCAAAACCTTTTTAATTTCTGCACCACAAAAAACTAGAAAAGATTTCAAATGAAACAAAACAAATAAACAAATCACACTATATTGCTGCCACAGCTCTGGAGTTGTACCAGCAGCTCTGGGGTTTCTTGCTGTGCCTTAGGAAGGGAATATGAGTGGGGAGGAATTGAAGAGGATGAAGTTCCTAGCCTTGTAAGAATGAAGACTCCAGGCTGGGACAAAGTTGGGAATGGCTTGGACTGGGATGGGTCCTCAACTAATGACCATGCTGAATTCACTTAACAAAGGCAACAGAGAACTGCTAAGCAAGGCAGTCATGTGATGTTTTAGTTACTGGTTGCTGTGCTTAGTGATGGAGTTGCTGATCCCAGTTAGGGTGATGAAGTGAGGACTACCTGTAAGCCAGGAGTACTGAAAACAAACTTACTTCCAATGTTTCATAAAAATCAAAGTAAGCAAGTAAGTACAGGCAAATATTAATCTCTTCTCTGGTTCCATGTAGAGGAGAAAGATTAACAAAAATCATTTCAAATATAAATAAATTCTGTTGATTTTGAAATCAAATAAGATATATTTTTGAAATGCAAATTAAGCTAACGTTTACAGAAAACCGCTCCCTTAAAACATTCAGTGTCAGTTTCAGAAAGCATGTGCTTCAATAAATAGATGCCAGACAGGAAACACAAGTAGATGAGTTAAATTTATTTCATTGTAAAGCTACATTATCAGAATCTGGCAAGTCTGAAACTACAAAAATTCCTACCACCACTTTTAACTGCTTGATCCTTTCTCGGGCGAATCCTTTCCAAATTTCTTTCTTTGACCATTAAGTCACTGGGGACTCCTGCTTTTCTTGTCTGATTATTTCCTTGGCAGCATCACTTCCCCTCTTTCCCCAAGGTCATTCCCACATTCCTCTATAGGCAATCTTCTTTCTGAAGATAAACTCAAAGAGTACAAGTATTTCAGAAATGATGAATGGACAACTTCAACCTCGTTACAATTTTCAGCACTTGCTCTTACATTCTCAACATGTATCTAGCATGTTGCAAAGATTATTCTGCATGTTATAAAGCTACTAAATACTATGAGTACAGGTAAGCTCTTTTTTACAACTGGTTTTTATTTATTTTCACTTAATTCTTCAAATTTCATCTCTTTATCAGTAATAGGCCAAGTAGGAACATATCATTTAATGGTACTGTTGGAACAATTTAGAAACAAATAACATCCATTTTCATTATGCAGTTGATTAAATCTCTAACAGCGTTCATATAGAGCTGTTCTGACCAAGGCTTCCTAGACTGTAATTACGCACACGCTTATTTTAAAAACAAGTCTTGTTTTATTGCAATGCTGGGAATTATTTTCATTCCCAGCCGTTAATGAATCTCAAACAGTCCTTCGAGATAACCTTTCTTTCCTGTGAAGTGCTGCCAATAACAGAAGTGTCAAATAAACTAGAACAAAAACCAACCAAAGTATAAAGAGCTTCAAGAATGAATCTGAACTGAACGAACGACTTTGCTTTCTGCAAAGATGTTGTCATCTTTGCCTGTTCTTTACACCTTATGGGAGGGGCAATCACCTCCCAGCCTTACTCCTGAGTCGCCCCTTTTGTTT